GTCACTGTTTGTGTCACTATTTGCTAAGTTCATATTGCTTACCTCCTAGTGTTGTGACCGTTCCACCATCGTTGGCGGTGAAATCCGCTCACCTTTGTTTTGTTTTTGTCTTCAGCTCTGCTGTCTTCAAAAAACACTATTGCTAAACAAAAAATGAGTATTTATACTAAATTATCACTTTTTAGAAGAGACAAAAGCAAATTAATCTTTAACATCAACAGCTGTTCCTACTGGCCGATATTCCACTTAATATGAAAACTAGCTGACCCGTGCGAATACTTCGTACAAACCTTATATTTGTAAGTTCCATTCATTAATGTTTCTGTGAAAAGTTTTAATACTTTTATTTAGTAAGTTATAAATTTATTAAATAATAATTTAGGAAATAAGAAATATTAAATTAAATTAAGTTTATTTACAATGCTCATTAAAATAAAAATATTGGAAGAAAAATAAAACAAAACCACGTAATACATACAGATGTATATAATAAAAACATGTAAAAATAAAATTTCATAATTAAACAAAACCATTTCTGGGGAACTTGAAAAGTCTACTTTTCATCATCAATCGGGTTGGGAAAGAAGTAGGTGCTTAAAGAGGAGATATTTTAATGAGGAAACTGATTGCGCATGTCGGATATCGGGAGGGATGGTATTCCAGGTGGAGACTGCTTGAATTATAAAGGATTTGTCAAACGCAGCAGTTCGGTGAGGAGGTGGATAGAGGTCAGAAGTAAGGGATCTAGTGGGACGAGACTGAATGGAATATTTAATTTGTAGGCTGTGAAAAATATAGGAAGGTCGCTGAGTTCTTATGGCTTGGTATAGAAAGGTAGCAAGGAAGTACAGACGGCGATTGGATGGATAGAGCCACTTCAACTTGGCGTAATACCGAGTTATATGTGTTTCTCTTGAGATTCCGAAAACAAAACATATTGCGCAGTTCATCAGACGTTTAAGCTTGGCCTCGAATTCTCCTGACAGTCCGCCGTACACCAGACAGCCATAGTCGAAGTGGGGGAACACAAGGGAGGAAACCAGAAGTTGTTAGGATTTATATGGAAGGAGATAGCGGAGACGGTTAAACTGTTTCAGGGTAGAGATAGTGCGGCGGGAAATTTGTGAGATCTGTGGTTTCCAGGAGAGAGTTTGATCAAAGATAACACCAAGGTTTTTTACGGAAGTATGGAATGAGATAGATGAGTTGTTCAAGAAAAGATTGGGGAGTGTCGGTAAGGATTTGAGGAGTGAGGGAGTTCCGATCAGGATGGCTTTCGTTTTCTCGGAGTTTAGAGTGATTCTATTGTGGTTTGCCCGGACACAAATTCCGTCTATATATTTCTGTAATTTTTGGATGGCGTCAGAGGATTCGATCGGATTGAAGGAGAGGTAAATCTGGACTTCGTCGGCATACAGATGGTATTGACAATGTAGAATATAGGATGGAAGGTCTTTGATGTAGTTGGAAAAAAGGGTGGGAGATAATGAGGAGCCTTGTGAGACACCTCTGGACAAGGGTAAAGATTCTGATGGGGCGTTATTGAGGACTACAACATATTGGGAGCGGACGGTAAGGAAGGATTGAGACCAATTAAGGGTACTAGTTGAAAAGGAGATATTTTTAAGCTTGGTTAGGAGAATTTTGTGGTCTACTGAAGGCTTTGGAGAAGTCAAGGAGAATTAGGGTGGTGAGTTTCTACTGGTCCATGGCTGTATGAATGTCTTGGGAAATTTCGATGAGGGCAGATTGAGTGGAGTAGCCGGGTCGGAAACCGGACTGGTTGGGATTTAGGAGGTTATTCTGTTCTAAAAAGTCGGATATCTGGGTTTGGACTAGTCGCTCTAAAGGTTTGGAATCGTTTGAGAGGAGAGAAATTGGACGGAAATCATTAAGAGTTGATGGATTGGAAGTCTTCTTCATAGGGAGAACTAATGTGGTTTTCCAGGATATAAGCAAGGTAGCGTTTTGTAGTGAGTAATTGTAGATATGGTAGAGGATTGGAAGGATGGATGGTAGTAAAGCTTTGATCAGTCTGACTGGGATGTTATCAGGTCCATAATCGTTGGTTTGCGATTTCTAAATGGAGTTGAGGAGGTCATCAGGTGTAATATAGGAAAAAAAAAGTGATCAGGATTAAAATTAAAAGGGAAACACATAGGAGCCGGTATGGTAGCAGGAGGTGAGGATGAGAAGGAACCGGAGACAAAGTGAGCGTTAAGGTCATCGGCAGGAAATGAGCTGGGTTTGAGGTATGTTACAAATGGTCAGTTTTTTTAGGATAACCCATTTGGCCTTGGAGTTTGTGGTGTTGGATAAGGAATGATGGAAATAACGGGATTTGGCTTGGCATATAGCAGACTGGGTGCTGTTTCGAAGTTGCTTAAAGGCGATGTAGTCTTCCGGGAGTTGGGTACGTTTAAACTGCCGTCTTGCAGCATCTTTTCTTCTCATGCACTCTTTCAGAGTGGGTGTCAGCCAAGGAGCAGAGGGATGTCGGATAGTTTTAGTTAGGAGAGGAGCATGGCAGTCGAGGATGGCATGAAGATGGTTGGTAAGGGTTTTTACCATGTCGTCAAAGGATTTTAAGGAATAAATGGGATCCCACTGGGTAGCGTCGAGATCCTGCGACAGGGCTTCATAGATGAGGGAGTTGAGGTTTCGGAAGGATATGGTCCGAGGAGAAAAAAATGGGACCGGGATGTTGTAGGAAATCTGGATAAGATCATGGGAAGACAGAAACGGAACCTGGTGCTTAGACGCTGTGAAGAGCTTATCCAGGGAATCCAAGATAAACAGATCAAGCCAGGACTCTATGATGGGTAGGGTTGTAAGGTACTATATAAAGGCTGAGAGATTGGAGGAGGCTGGTCAGGTAGGAATGGTCAGAGGATGGTATCATCAAATTGGTATTGAAGTCTCGTGTGAGGATAATATTGGAGTAGGAAGGAATCAAGTTGTAAAGGGAGGTCTCAAATAAATCATCAAAGGGAATTCTGGGAGTTGCGTAAATGACTGAAAAGAGAAGGGGATGATGGGGGAAATAACGGGGATATAAGGAGATGATGGGATTAGGATTTCAGTAAAAAGATATTCTAGGTGTGGAGAATCGGTACGGGAAGAGCAATGAAGGATTTTGAATTTAAGGCTTTCATGAACAAAGAGAACTACACCACCACCTGTACAATCCACTCTGTCATGACGAAGGAGGGTATAATTGGGTAAAGTAATTTGGGAAGACGGAATAGAGGGCTTTAACCAGGTTTCAGAAACTGCGATTAGATGGTAGAAGTTGTGGAGGAAATAATCATAAAATTCATCAAAATGAGGTAGGAGTGACTGAGCGTTGACGTGGCAGGTTAAAAGGATGTTTGTCATGGGAGAAGGAGAGTTGGCTTGGTTAACAGACTGGAAGGGCTTGGGGTAGGAATATTTGATTACCCATGAACCCAGAGAACATAATTGTTGGTGACACCCCTATTAAGAAGAACCATACCTATAATAATAAATGGAGCTAAACAAGAAATAATGAATACTGATTTTCTAGTTGTGAAGTAGAAAAAATACAATTTATTAAACGAAAGGCCAATTTATTAGTCTCCGACGCAATTCCTGTCCACCAGTATACTTTAATTCCATCCAGCTTCCTTACTCAGACACAGTCCTTCTTGGCTTTCTCTTAGGCTGAAGACAAACATAGAACCCACATACCAGACTTAAAAGGCAAGAACTCAACTGATTATATGGCCAGTTATATAGACTACTGAACAGAAAATCAGCTCCCATAAAATTGATCTCAATTTATCCCTAAAAACTCCCGATGACCTAGATAATGACGAACATTCCTTTACATCTTATATACGAAAAAACCTTATACATCAACTGACAACAAACTACTGATCTACAAGACAATAGTGAAACCTATTTGGACCTACGGACTGGAACTGCGAGGGACAGCAAAATTTTCTAAAGGCATGTTTTAGTTATGATAAAATTATGTTATAAATATTGATTAATTTGGATCACGCATTATTTAAATCACAAATTTGTTGATGTGCTCCTAAGTTATGATGAAAACCATGTATAAATGTTTGTACCAGGGTTGTATCTAATAATTGTTTCAAAAGTTCAATGCCTACTCCATCCAATTTGTATCTAATAACAATGACTTAACGTTTCTCATCTAATTTATTTTAAAACTCTACCGAGTATTCTCGATTACTTGATTGCAGTAAGCTATTAAATCAGACACCAATCTGTTTCTAAGCACATCTATTAATTCCTCTATGGTATTACAATGATTATTATAAACTGCAGTTTCTGCTGGCCCAACTAAATGACTTACTGCTACTCAAAAAATTAGCCAATGAATATGACCTCGCTCAATTACTATGTCTGCACAATAAGTTTTGAATAAATTTTCACAAGTACTAATAAATTGTGACAACTTATACTTCCTGCATATCTAGGAATATATTTCAATATTTTGTGTGGAATTACTTTTGAAACTGGCATGTTTGTAATTAATTGAGCGGGTTTTGAACTAAAATTGGTATTAGAAGTACAGAGATTCCTCACAAGAAATTGATCTTATGATTCCTCCGGGTCATCTTCCTGATAAGCTGCTTTTGATGGTAATGAAGAGTCTCTCTTCGTCTTATATTCTGTGATTAGATCTAGTGTAGTAATTTCAGAGTCTTGTCAGTTATGGATTAAATCCAAAATTCTTCAAAGGAGAGAAATTGATCGCACATAAAAAGTCATATGGATTCACTCTTGAAGAACTCCTGAAGTCCTCTGTATAGGGCACCAGTTAAAAAGTCTATGCCATTGAAAGTCTTTTTAAATAAAAACTTTATTAACTGAAAAATATTATAATAAAATAACAGCACTTGATCTAACAAATTGAGAATAATCGGCTCTAGATACTGGAAGAATGTGTAGTCAGCAAGCAGAATATTTCTTGGTTATAACTAATGACAAACAATTCTTTACATTCTCTCTTGTACTTAATTGTTAATCAGCAATGAATGATGTTAACAGTTTATATATTACTTTCAGGTGAAGGATTGGTCTCGAAGAATCCCTTTTTAGTATCAAGTGGGTATGATTGATACATAAATCTTTTAATATTACAACTTTATTTCCTAAAAGATTTTGAAAATAAAATCAGGGCGATTCCCTTTCGCCTGATCTGTTCAGTTTGGCATTAGAACATGCCATTATTGAGGTAATGCGTACCAAAAAAGGGTTGGATCTGGGTGGGACAACATCCGTGCTGGGCTATGCTGATGATCTGGTACTGTTAAGCGAAGATGTGGAAACTATAAAACTAAATACGACAACGTTAATGAAAGCTAGTAAAGAACTAGGACTCGAAATAAACGTGGATAAAACAAAATATATGGTTAGCTGCAAAAATGGCGATACTACTGGTGATATTGATATAGATGGTATTATGTTCGAACAGGTAGAGAAATTTAGGCATCTAGGTTCTACGATAACTAAAAAAAACGAAATTGAAGAAGAGATTAAGGTTAACCTGAAGGTGGGAAATGCTTTTTATTTTTCTCTGACAAAACTACTTAGCTAATGCCTCTTGTCCCGGAACTTAAAAATTAGATTCTATAAAACTATTGTCTTACCTACAGTTCTATATGAATGCGAAACTTGGCCGCTTACATTAAGGTATGAACAGCGTCTTAAGGTTTTTTAAACAAAGTATTGCATAGAATATTCGGTCCGAATAAGGATGAGTTAATCGGAGAGTTCAGACAGTTACACAATGCCGAATTGTGTGAACTGTATCCGAGTAATATAACTGAGGTGATTTCATCCCGGCGAATTAAATGGGCTTGTAAAATTGTTGGGCTTAGTAACGAGAGAATTCCTAAAAGGTTAACTTTTAACTTTTATTATGATATTTACAACTGTATTAGTATAAATACATCAAGTAAATTCCTAAAAGGTTAATATTTGCTTTACCGAATGGTAAATGACCGAGAGGTAGACCGAAGCGAAGGTGGGAAGATTGAATAAAAGCCGATCTGAAGGGACTGGGTTTGGATGGCGAACGGTGGAGGGAGGTGTGTAATAAGAGATTGGTGGTGTCGGCATCGAACCTTCAGGTTCACTAAGCCTTTTATTATTATTATAAAAGATTTTGAAAGTAAAAAATGAATGTGAATATAATACAAGATTTTCAACCAATAATTAACCCACTTGTCTTGTTCAGTAGCTTTCCAATTCAGTATTTTCATCAGACTGATAACTATATCATTTTTTTTGTACTCTATATACATTTACAGTAATAGAATGTTAGTTCAGTGTATGGTTTCCTATACACATACGGTTTTCACCAATTCTGTTCATAATTGTCATGGAAGATAATTATCTATAGAAAGGTTTTTACAAAGTAGTAAGAGCCATTATTTGCTTCCTCTTTTCCTCTGTCTCAATCCATCCTCTTATTCTATTCTTGTAGACTGTCAGTTTCTGTTTGATGTTTTCAATAGGCTTAGTTAATTTCTGAAACATTTCAGATACTTGCACGTCACCAATATGAGAGACATTTATTTCATCTATTTTTGTCTTCAGCTTAATTGAAGCATTTTCAAGGCTTTGTACACAAATCTCTTAATTAATAAAATATAAGTAAAAGGACTAACCCAAACAATCCTACTAAAACTGAAAACGAAATGGCTCTTCATATAAAATAGAATTATCAATTTAACAGCCAAAATATTCTACTTACAGTAAACGCATAATTTCTTATACCTGACCTTTTCAGTGGAGCATGAACATATAATGAAACAAAAGGGGAGAACATACATAAAGCAATGAATGGTAATCTCTGTATTAATAAATAAAATTAACTTTGCATGTCATTCTAAAATAGCCTTTAAACCACTTCATAACTGTCTTTATCTAAAAACTATTCAAAGCCGCATAATCAGTAATGGAAGCACAATTTGGTTTATTTCGTTTTTTTTTTTCTAATAAGAAAGTAGAATTAACTTTTTACATAACTATAGAAGAAATGTATATGCCTTCCCTCCAATAAAGCTAATATAAACAAATAAAGATACAAGTTTTGCTGCTGAAGTTTTTAATACTAATTGCTGACTTCAAATCACAAAGCATTAGTTAACAATATATACTTTTATATATGTAGAAAAACTTTTTTCAGTACTAAAATACAATAATAAACCATAACAATACATATATAAATTTAAAATTTTCTAGATATACTAAAATATATATTTATTTTACTCCTATAGACCAAAAAATTACTTAATATAACAGTTCATAACCCACTGAAAACTTAAAATGACTAAAATTGCAAAAATTTATTCTAACCCTTATATACAAAACTATATGCTCTGACTATTTTACAGATATACAATCAATTTATATACATTAAAATGCCTTCTCTTTAGAAAATGTACAATAAAATTTTAATAGTTTTATAGCTAAAATACCTAGTCTTTTAATGACTGGATTAGATAATGGCTAATAAATGTTAGATATTTTAACATTAAATAACATTGCAATACAAACAAACTTGCAATTTATAGTAAGGCAGTTTTGTCAAACAATATTGTAGTAAAGCAGGAAAGCAAACAGGAATAACAAGTTTGGAAAGAGTAAAATTGTTAATAATTTTTAAACTCACTTGATAAAATTATAATCAATTAACCATTAACTAAAAAATAAAACAATGAGTCATAACATCAACAATTGTAAAAAGAATTATTAATATAAATTAGATTAATGTAAATGTTTAGTTAGCAGTGGAAGATAATGAAACTGGAAGTCTTCAGCATATTCTAATTAACAACAAGAAATTAATCATAATTATATTACATTTCATGACTTATGTCAATAATGAAAGACTGCCAAAATTGAAACAGATTCAACATAGTTAAATAATTATTATCTTTTTGGTTCAATAAGTATCAACTGACTACTCAGGTACAAGAGGCTTGATTATTTTATTCAGATAAAATTTAACAAATGTACTGAAAAATAAGAATTTCATCTTCCTAGTAAATCACTCAAGTCCAGAATGGAATATATTTACAGTTCATATTAAAACAAAGAGGACCATAAACAAATTTCCTCAAATAATAATCACCTAAATGATTCACAGTAATAAATGGTGCCACAGTTTAAAAAAATAAATGATAAAATTTACTAAGTAACTCTCATAATGAGCTGAACGACTCAGAAAGCTAGTGTAAACATTGTTAACTGGTTCGGTGAAGATTCTTCATAGGACTGTAGGATTTTCAAATAGTTTTGCTCTGAAAATTTCAGAACTCTGAATGATTATGCAATGAAAATGAATGAAGACATTTTTTTGTTTTGTTTTTAACAGTTTAACAACTGGGAAAAAGCATTATAATTATATGACTGACCTTTTTTCATTTTTCTATTTACAATTAAAAAATCAAACAACTACTGTTATGATAATCAACATTGTGTGAATTATAATTTTATAAGATACAATGATGTTTAAAGTGAACTGGATGTTCCAGAGATGTCACGTGGGGTCAACTGTAAATCTGTCAATTTTTGCTCGACACATTGGGCACTCGAACAGTTGGGCAGTGCATGTTTGACAGAAACCACTGAAAAAAAAAGTATTAAATTTAATTAAATTAACATTATTAGAGATGGGCAAGAAGTCGAATAATTAATTATAAGGACGAAACAAAATGTCAGGAATATCAGCCAAAATTTCTGTAACGGGTTAGCCAACATTTCGACCCAAACATGTGGCTAATCAGGGATATCATTTGGAGGTCGAGACAAGGTGAAGAACTTTGGAAGTTCTTGTCTCAACTTCCAAATGATAGCCCTGATGATTATCCACATGTTTGGGTCAAAACTTTAGCTAACCCATTACAGAAATTTTAACTGAAATTCCTGAAAATTTTGTTTCATCCTTATAAGCAATAACATATTTCTATGGGAATATTAAAATCAATTGATATTTTTTAAATTACATATTATTTATTAATTAACAAGATATTTATATTTTCAAGCATATGACTTGGTTCTGTAAATATTAAGGAAGCAATACTTGACTAAATTATTTAAGACCTTGGAAGGTCTGATTGTAAAATAAAATAGAATTCAAACTGCTACTGCATGCTTTAAGCCAGAAATGAATAACTTGCTACACTTTCTTTGTGACTCTTCATAACAACATAGATTTATTTTAAACATATTTATTTTTATTACAGTATATAAGTGGGTGTGTATGTGTGTATAGCATGTATAGCATCAGGATGGTACTTAATAGTTATTATGGCTTCCACCATCCGATTTCTTAGCTCTTCTTGTGTGTCAACTGCCGCAGAATAAACCATAGACTTCATCCAGCCCCACACAAAATAATCAGATGGCGTTAAATCCGGAGATCGTGGCGGCCATTTAACAGGTTCGTTTGGACCAACATTATCTATTGGGTTTTTTATTTTACAACAAGCAATTAAGGACCATGGGTTTCTATAATTTGCATTTAAATAATCAGTGACACTATTTGAAAAGTGAGCTGGAGTACCGTCATGCATAAACTACAGCCTTTGCCTAATGCATAGCAGAATATCTTCTGGGAGTTCATGAAGATTATTTTGCAAAAAATGCAAGTAAGATATACCTGGCAGCCTAGGTAGCAAAAAGAAGGAGCCGATGATGTCGCTTAGAAGACTACACCAGACTATTAAAGACAAGGTAGGTTGGTAATGTCCAACAGCAGTGGTCTGAGGGTTTTCTCCAGCCCAAGTATGGGTATTTCAAAAATTAAGAATCCCGTTTTTGGTAAAGCAACATTCATCAGTAACCAAAATGCAGTTCAGGAAGTTAGTATCTTGTGTGCATTGTTGAATTAAACAGTGGAAGAAATTCCTGTGCTTGTTATAATCTTGTATTCATCTTCTTGTTATTATTATAAAAAGAGGTAGCAGAATTGGGCTCACCCTAAATCAAGAAAAAACAAAATATATGCCATTAACCAGAGAAACAACAGCATCTCCCTTCTCAATTATAAGCTTGAAAGAGTGACCAGCTTCATTTACTTAGATTCATCAATAAATATAGAAAACAAGATCAGCCGTGAAATACAAAATAGAATAATGGCCCAGAAACAGGGCATATTATGCGAACCTGAAACTACTCAGATCAAGATTCATTCTTGGAAGACCAAACTAAAGCTGTATAATGCTCTGATCAAACCAGTTGTCACCTATGGGTAACTTGGTGCCTACCATCGACAGACTGTCAAAAACTGAGAGTTTGAGAGGCGGATTATAAGAATATAACATATACAGAGCTGTACAGATTGATGGAAAGTGGAAGATCAAGAGCAATGCAGAAATTGCAACCATTCTGAAAAACCAAGATATAGTTAATTATATAAAAGCAGGTAGGCTGTAATGGGCAGGTCATGTTGCCAGAATGAACGAAGAGTGTTCAGAAGATGGAAAATGATTGAGAAAAAGAGGAAGATCGAGGAGCCGCTGGAAGGATGAGGTGACGAAGAATGCTGTAAAGTTAGGTGTCATGAATTGGAGGAGCGCTGACAAGCGTCACACAGACCTGCAGGACCGGGGAGTAAGATTTTACTGAATATTATCAAAACTAAGTAAGTAAAAATTAAGATCACTTTTGCCTACCTGTGACCACAAGGAATAAGGGTGGTTTCAGCTTGAGAATCAAAACAAATAGCACAAGAATCTTCACGTATACTCATGTTCCTCAAAGCTTCCATCTCTAGATGTCTGAAAAATTAAAGTATAAGATAACATTGTATACTATCAGAAAGTAAAAAATCTTAAACTGATGAAATAAAAAAAAAAATTAATGTCATGAGATATTTTAATCTTGCTAACTTTTAACTTATCTTTAACAAGATCTAAATTAATTACGAAGATAAGAAAATGTTTTATCAATTATAGAGTTTTAAGTCCTTGTTATGATTTATTTGTTACCTAACAAATTTGTCACATAAACGTTTTTAAAAACTTTTGGTGTCTTTATATTATATTCTGTGCTCCATTATATTATATTTTTCTTTTCCCTACATTTATTAAAAGCCCAATTGTGACAAAGAAGAGACCAGCTATATATCATAAAGTATCATGAACTGAGATACAACTAAATCTTCATTATAGCAAACCATAACTGAATAACATGGATAAATGCATTGATTTTCCAATAGCACCTCTGTTTTAACAATTTAATTCCGTTAGTATGAACGGATAACTACTTTTAGACCTCTCTTAAGAATTAGATAAGTTACAACAAACTTGAAAGTTTGATCATTATTAATTTTATTACTTTGTTGTTGTTTTGGGGGGTTTATTTAGGCGTAAAACATCAAGGTCATCAATGGCTGTGTTTTAGCAAAGCTAAAGGCGTCAAGCAAATTTGACGGGCTCTCACTTAACATAGATTGCCAGCTGCTACTTGTAAGGAAAATGGGACGATAGCAGTTTGGAAACCGTTTGTCTTGACCATTTTTCAGAATCGGGATTATGACAGACTCATGCCAGGTACTCAGGAAATGTCCAGTTGTTCAGACAAGACTGTAATAACCAAGGAGCCATTTCTGTGTATCAATAGGAAGGTTTTTAACCATGTCCTAATGAATATTGTCAGGACCAGGTGATGTTCACTTACCTGTACTTGAGACATCTTGGAATTTCCACACTGAAAACGGAAGGTTATAATGGTGAAAGTCGTGAATTTCTATTTTGTCCATTAATATTTGATGAGGATCGATATTATTTCTATCTGAGTAATAAATTTAATGAAAGAAGTCAGCAAATGTGTTGTGAGATGAGTGAGAGATTATCAGACTACCGTCCATCAATTGAAATAGTGTACCGGTATGAAGAATGATTTTTAGTAATTTTATGTACTTTATACCACATATCAGCTGACATTGTAGATGCATTTATGAAACTTATATATCTTTTTCAGGAATTGGCCTTACTTTGATTAAATAATCTTCTGTATATAACCCCTTGATTTTTACATTCTATTATGTTTTCAATTGTCATAGATTTCTGAAACATTCTATAGAATTTCCGACGATCTTTTATGGCTTTTTTATAGGCAATGTCAAACCAAGGAACTAGCGGTCGTTTTGGTATTCCTGAGGTTATTGGTATCGATGCCTTGGCAGCTTCTATTATCATATTCGTAAGTGTTTCGCACCCCTTGTCAATGCTTGTTTCGGATGGTGAGATTTTAGGTGGTTAGGCTAAGGAAGAAAAAAGAGCCCAATCAGCTCAGTTTAGCAGCTCAGTTTTATATGTGTAGGATTTACATACAGATTCTGCAGAATTGCATGTATAGAACCGGAAAGCAATAATCTGAGACAGAAAGAGCTGTAGAAGGATAGTTAACATGGCAAAAGGACGAAAATGTCTGTAAAGCTGTGAAAAAAAAAAAATCTAAAACTATGAATGAAATTATGCCACTATTAAATAAACTTTAGGTTTAAATGCATTGACAAATTAATAAGAATTCTTAATGAAAAATGAAACACGAGACTTGTTGGAATTATCAAAAGATAATTAAATAATATAAAGGGTATTTACTAATAAAACAGAAAAGAATGGAGAGAAAAATCAGTATAAAGCACAATTAGTTGCAAAGGGATGGGTACAAAGAGACTTTTGAACCTGTTCTTAGATTTTTAACTCTCAGAAATTTATTTGCGTTTGATTGGTAATATTGATGAAGATGTATACATGAAAAAACCTGAGAATTTTGTTCTTAAAGAATGAGAAAATTCAGTCTACAAACTGAACAAAGCAATATATGGATTGAAGTAGAACTCTTGTTAATCCCACAAAAATGTGGATGATAATTTGTGGAGGAAATAACTATATCAAATCAAAAAATGACATCGAAACTGTATATATTATAAGAAAAATTATGAAAATTGCCATATACATAGATGATTTTTTATTTTTATTTTTTTTTTTTTATGAATATCCAAAATTGACAAGACTGAAGGAAAATCTAAATTTAAGAAGTCTATATATAAATATCTATAAATCTAAATAGGGGAAGTTTTAAAGTGTTTAGAAATTCGAATAAGAAGAAAAGGAAGGCATGAACTTATCTTGGCCAACAACATTATATTAAGGACATCATTAAAACATTCAACAGGTCAGATTGCATGACTGTTTCAAATAAATTGATTCAAACAAATAAATCCCTTTGGAAAAAAATTGATGATATTAGAAAAAGAAAGAGAGGGAAAATGTTTTAATTAATTAATAAATTAAATAAATAATAAATAAGATTTGTTTTGGTCTTATTATTTTTTAACATCGTAGAACAAAAAAGATTATGTTTTAAATATGTTTTTCTGTTGATTTAGGCAATGTAAATAAATGAACGATTTTTTTTTCAATCAGTATTACAAAATAATTAACATAATACACTATAAATAAAGTAAAATAACAGATTTAATACCTAGGAAGAACAATTCTTTCTTGAGGGGAAAGGCTGGCATAATCATTGAATGACTTGAACTCTGTATCAGGAGGAAACCTGAATGGATCACTTCCAAAATTGAACCTACATTGTTGGAATGACATAAAGCTTGCTCCGGCAAAGTACTTGTTCCTGGAAAAACAATGTATGATGATAGCAGATTTAAAATTATATAATAATTGCAAATGATAAGAGGTTAATAATAGTAGCTATATTATCCTCAAGTTAGATAAAGTAAATATGCTAAAAATAATTTGTTCATAAAAGCTAAGACATACCATACCATTCATTAAAAATTCAACAATGCATACATCATCAGGAGTAAATATTCAACCCATTCAGCAAGATATGAACTTTGTTGGATCAAATATAATTTTTATTTTTTTAATCTATCCTGCTGTCTTGTCACAATGTAATGTAATTGTTTATAGTACTCAAATATTACTCATTAATTTATTTTTTATTTTTTACAAATGTTATCCCTTATATAACTTTTAATATTTATCAATTTTCTTATTAATTCCATCACATTTTCACCTCATTGTATCTGAATAGCACTAAGATGGCTAGGCAACATGGATCAAAATGTCAGTATTCAATAAAGGGATGTTATTGATCGACATGAAAATAAATTTGAGCAAAGACCGATGTATCTGAACTGAGACCGGCCTCACAACTTTATTTTATCAAGATTGGTAGAGCTTTTTTTATTTTGTGCTCCTCTTACAAAAAATTTTAGTACCCCAGTTGGACCAATATATCGGCCTTACGATTGTAATTTATTATAATTCATAAACTATTATAATTCATTATTATTTTATCATGATTTGTATATCTATAAACATACATTTGAGCAAAGACCTACATATCAGCCTTACGCCCTTAATTTATTGAGACTGACCTTTTATTTATTTATTTTTTTTTTGGTCAGCATCTTACAAATGTTTTTTCCTTCCATTAGACCGATATATTGGCCTTACGATTTTATTTTATTTTGATTCATTTCGTTTCACTTGGAATATTATTTATATTGATAATAAATGTGCTAATTAGTCACCAAGGAATCGACATAAACATATATTTGAGCAGATTTTGACATTCTAAAGTCAAATATATTTCGGTCTTTAGGTTATCTGTCTCTGATGAAAATCTGAGGAGAGGATGAGAAAAAAAAAAAAAAAAAAACAATAATCAGTCAAACTCTACCAATCATAATAAAATAAGGTCATAAGGCCGATATATTGGTGCACAAAAAAAAAAAAAAAAAAGAAGAAAATTAAATAGATAAAAAAGAAGAAATCAACTACTAATCTTGATAAAATAAGGTTGTAAGGCCGATACATCGGTATTTGCCCAAATTAGGGGAAGGAGAAGGCCATAAAAAATAAATTAAATAAAAATTGGTGCAACTCTACCAACCCAATTTCATTAAAAAAAGGTCATAAGGTCGATATTCGGATTTTTAGGTTATCTGTATCTGCTGAAAATCTGAGGAGGATATGCTAGTATTTTAAAATGTTCTCCAAAACTAACTTGATTACAATAAAACATTGATTTTTAAGCTAATAATATAATATCATTGATGGTTAGAGACCCAACACTTGTGCCACATTTCCAAACTATATTTCTTCTAATACAAAAAGCAATTTTTTTACATTGATTTTTGGTACAGAATTTTATAATAATGTAGAAATAATTTTTCCTTTTCAAATTTTGTAGCATCTAACCAAGTGTAACAATTTTTTTATCATAACTTTTAAATTTTTTCTATAGTTAATTTTATTCATTTTAAAAATTAGTTGTCCTGTTTATTTAATATTTATTTCAATTTATTTTTCCTTGTATTAGTAAATAAAAAGGTTTACCTTAAGTTTAAAAGCAATTTAAAAACTTACGCAGACACAGTAAAAAGCAAATCCGAAGAAAACACCTGAACTCCGTTCAAGTAAAAATGCAAAACTTTGGCTGGAATATCAAGAAGAGTCCCCACAATATCACCAGCTTTCCACCTTCCGCCACCAACCTCTTGGCTCCTTGCAGCAAACCAAACTAATTCTCGACATCCATCATAAGCTACTGAGTATTCATCATCACCAATGCCATAGCCTTCCTAATGAATAATTACACAATTAGCAGTTGCATCTTGATGAATATTGATCTTTTTAGTCTTATGCAATCATGAAGATGCTATTACTATTTATTGTATTTTTTATTTAAAAAAAACAATACTTATATATTATATTTCAGTCACAATCAACCATCTCGATTTGTTTCTATAATTTTATGCAGTGGCATGAATGGAGAAGGCAAAACCAAGTAAGGCTTTTCTTCAGGGATATGAAAATTACTCTTAATAAATGTTTCATTTATTGGATAACGTACCTGAATTGAGAAGAATTTTCATCAAGAAGATTAACAGAGATTGGTCATAATAAAACAAATTATAATTTCAAATCAAAGTCAACAAGAAATAAAGGAGGAAAAAATATTCCTCCATGAAAGGCTTTATATTGTTTTGTTTTATATAGCCTCGATAGTGATAGACTAAAAACTTAAAAAATAAAATAGATAGTGAGTGTTTTTCATTATAATCTTCTCATAGCCGATTGCATTTCACTAATCTCATAGAATGAATTTCAAACTCAATTATCTCATGCACAAATAATTATATTAGCATATTACTTAATAATATTATGATTTTACTCACATGATTAAGAAATTTACTGTGCTTTAAGGCCCAGCCAATTTGCATCACACCAGGTGTAAGAAGAAGAACTTCATAGAACCATACTCCTTCTGTTGCAGGAAATGTGCATCGGACACTTTCAAATGAATATGCATCACATCTTGCCTACAAAATATTAATATGACATTATTTAAAAGAATATTACAGCTATTATAGGGCTCATAACACATTCTTTTATCAAAGTAGGAAATCAAGACGAATTTTTAACTAATAACAAAAAAAGCTACAATTCGAAAACAAAACATAGTTAAGATTACTCAGTTTTCCTCCTCAATATTTTCTATTTTCTTGATTTAGCCCGAATCATTTAACTTTGAGTATTTTAAATAGTAATTGAGTACTTGATTCTACAAAAGTGTACAATATTATCTATATTAGATATAGATAATAGTTTCAAATACCAGAAATTTAGAGCTACATATTGCATTAAGATTAAAGTATCAATGTTCTAATAATTACATAAATATTGTCAACTATTACAAGTTTTATAATTATACTCACACCTGTATCTGAAATAATTAAACATTTCGGATTTCTTTTGAAAAGAACAGGTGCTAACATGTAGATTAATTTAAAATTTTCAGATTTTTATGCTACTAAGGTCTACTATCATGTTTTCGGAAACATAGTTTTAAAAAATAACACTTATTATAAGATTATGCACCATTGTATCTATTTATTTGAACTTATGAAATTTCTTTGATTATGTTATCTGAGTCATATTTTTTGATTTTGAAATTATACAACTTGGAACATTTATGTTCGCGAAATTAGAACACAATAAGAAAAACTCAAAAAATTGAAAAAGTGATGCAAAACAAGAAATCTATAACTCTTTGGAATTGTCTAAATAACATAATAATTTTTTTATTTTTTCTCCTACGTGGAAGTTTATGGCAAAACAAGGTGGTTACACGACTTTTAATCAATTTAAAATATAAAAATGGATTCTTAAATAAAAGAAATCTGTTAATTTTAAATTAATCAACACAGGATAGCACAAACCTAAAATGTATATTATTTTTATTAAGCGAGTTGCTTTTAAAAACTATAACAAACTTGCCAATATTTACTCCAACCTAAAAGACCCCATCCCTCCGCAACACCGCTCTAATATCGTATACCGCATTCCTTGCTCTACCACCAATTGTAACTCCGCCTATATTGGAGAAACCAAAAACCAACTTAAAGACCGCATCAAACAACACAAATACTCAATTACTTCTAAGAACTCTACTGCTTCTAAACTCTCTGAACACGCCTTAACCTCAAACCACACATTTGACTTTGACAATACCTCCATTCTTGCCACAGTACCTAACCACGACAAAAGACTACTTACGGAAAGTGTTTTCATTCAATTAGACTACAAACCACTTCACTTAAAAACCGACAAGCAAAATCTATCACTCGCCTACTCCCAAATCATCAACATTTTAAAAAAGTCTCGATCATAAACCTCTATTTAATCTTCTCACTTCCATTTATACTTTCTTTTACTTTTCCTTTTATATATATATATATATATATATATATATATATGTGTGTGTGTGTGTGTGTATTTGTATGTGTATATATGTGTATGTATGTATGCGTTTATTTTTACTAGAACTTTTTTTTGACACTGCTAACTAGAGTTTTTGACACTGCCAGTGTTTCAACCGCCTCCCGCAGTGCCACATCCAACGGTATGTTTTAACTTTTATTGAGATTCCTTTCTTAACACACCTATCCTTCAACTATACACCTTATTATTATCTTCATACAGCCTACCATTCCATTACCGCTTTCAAAAAACTAAATGTCAATTGTCATCTATATATAGTACAACCTGTTTTTTGTTTCTTTATCATCATAACCTTGTTTTTACATTTATTCTTACATTTTAAAGTATTCTTTTAAAATTATTGTTTTCTTATAGAGTTATTTATACTTAATAATCTATCCCAACAATATTACACTAATGTTACCCTATTAATCTTTCAATTTCTTCACTTCTTAACCTTTGGTCCCGTTATCTGTTTATTTACAATTAAAGGTAACCTCCACTTGCTTGTTATCCACTGATATCTTATTATTATGTTATCTTATCCATATTTTAACTTTACTGTAACAATAGTTATTCAATTTTCAATCAATTTATTCGTTAACATTCATTTATTCGTTAACATTCATGTATTTATTTTCTTTTATCTATTTTCTTATCATGTATTTATTTTCTTTATCTTTTATTTCTGTATCTGACAACTTCTTCGTAATTTATATATACTTATATTTATTTTTTATTTTATTTTTATATTTTCAACATGTTTGTATCTTTTGTAGCCCTGAAGACGACCTGCAAAGTGGGTCGAAACGTTGGCAAAAATTAAAATTATTTATATATTTTAATTTTTTTATTTTTTTTTTGACCGCACCCTCGACTAATTCCTTCTCATATCATATCAACGGTCAACCATCTCTACATCATTATGTATATTATTTTTAAAAAATATGCTTTCAAAAACAAAAAATGCAAAAAAAAAATACTTAAATAACTCAAACATAAAAAAATTAAAAGGGATCAAAGTAAATCAACATTAACTAAATCGTTAAAAATGTTAATATTTATTACTTAAAAGACTTTTTATTTAAAAAAAATTAAATTAATCAAGATAAAACAAAAAAAAAAAATTCACATTTTTATTACAAACTCATGTAGTTCTGACTGACTGGGTCTGATTCCAACTGAAAACAAACTGTTAAACAGAAAATAAAAGAAAGTCATAGATGGACAAAAGAGTTTGTCAATATGGCTGGCCCAACATACACTCAACAACATTAGGATAAAATATTTGTAAGTATTATCATTAAAATAAATGCAGGTGGTTTACCTCTAGACCATCAGGAGATATTTTAAGATATTCACTGACATCCTTAGTGTTAAGCATAGCATTTATGTTTAACACATCCACAGTCTCATAGGAAAACTTTCTGCCCTCTACCAAAACTGAAAATTAAAAAATAAATAAAAAATTATGATAAAAATAGTAAAACAGATTAAAGTAATAAAAATAATCGTTAGATAATACAGGCTAAAAAATGTATCGATATTCCCTTTAAAAAATTAGAAAAACACATTTTTTAAAAATATTGATGTAAAGACCTATAAAATGTGTTTATTCCCAAAACTCTTTAACCTACAGCTGAAAAGATCAGATCTAAGGTATGCATGGGGGTTAGTGAAAAACCAGAATATCAGATGTGGTAATCATAATGGTTTTTTTTTTTTTTTAAATCTATTTATTGAATAATAATACAATCAGCCACTGCTGGAGGGCTATAAGCATTAGGGCTAAAAGTTCTCATTCATACAATATATACAAATAATAAAGAAATAAATATAAATATAAGAAGTAAATAAATAATACTGATGAAGAAGGTAAATAAAAATAAAAAATAAAAATAAACAAATAAAATAAAACAAAAACTTCTAAACACAATCATAACTATATACAATATATACATTCGCCCAAGAATCTCCGAACCAGGCTTTTCCCCCCACACGCGGAAGGCAAAGCAAGACTCCGGAAGATCCCAGTGCCACTTTTCCAGCCGCATCAATAGTATTAGAAGCCAGTGGAGACTGAAAGAGGGTACTACAGCCACAGACGATCAGGACATGAGTGGAGAAGCTGGCCATTGCCAGGACGCCAAAGGCATATTTACAAAAGATCTTGAGGCAACTGCCGTTTCAACCTTCAATCATAATGGTAGATATGGTAAACATAGAGCCTAGTAAAATTGAAGAATTGGGTTTCTATACTATAATTATGGAAAAGCAGGCTAGATCTGCTATCTGACCTTGTCAGGTAATAGAAAGCTGGAAACCTAGGACAATCAGTTTCCAGACATTTGTCGTTTTGAAAGACCGGATTAAAAGTTTCCAGACATTTGTCGTTTTGAAAGACCGGATTAAAATGAGAGGATCGAATAACTAAGAATCAGCTAGTTACTTTGGCCGGGTGTAAAAAGAGGATTGATTATCTCTTTGAGTGACCAACCAGGAACAAACTAAAAAAAAATTACTTTGGTTCTATATGATAGCTAGAAAGACCTGAGGAACCATACAAGTTGACGTACCCAAGTATTAGGTGGAATTATATTTATTTTGGACCAAAGTTAAGGAAATCTTAGCACTATTTTTCAATAATTAAGTTCAAGGATTATTAAACCTATTTCACATTTTATAAATGCTAATTAAGATTTTCTTTCCTTAAAAAAAGTAACATGAAAAAAAATGTGGATCCCGCACTGCATAATAGTACTAAAAGGGGATTAAAGGTTATGATGATGAAAAAAAGGTACATTTACAAAGGTGTAAGTAGAGAGGACTTTTATCTCAGAAGTAATTACTGATAGAAATGTAAGAATAACCTTCTAGCAATGGTCACAATTACCTTTACAAACAACTGATGCCAGTTAATTACTCAATATTTTACCATTTTTTTTTTTTATAAAAAAACAAAACAAAACAAGCGTTGTAAAATTGTTTTGAGTGTGTGCACAGACTAGCTCAAAAACAAAAGTCCTATGTCCTATAAAACTATAAGGGAAATTTTGTATTATTCAAGCGAAAAGTAGTTTACTTTTTAATTTACATACTGTAATCTAATTATGCAGAATCGAAAATAAAATAACTTAATTTACTTAAAGATGGTGTAACAGCCAAAACATTGTGGAATGAATAAATACATGGTAGAAAAATAATTATTAAAATACTTTTCAAAGAGAGATTAAACCTTGAACTCAATAAAATTATTAATTTATCTTACACAGATTATCCAATGCCCAAGTTGCACAGAACTTTACTTGAGATTCGATAAGGTCTGATGATGGTGGCCTGGCTTCAAGTCTGAGCAAAGGATCCCCTGCTTCAGCAAGTCTTCTTTTAATGGTGACTTTATTTTCACCTACAAGAAAGGAGAGGAGAGAACACCAATAAAAGCTTTTAAAAAAAGTAAATTGATAAGAATATTCATTTAATAAAGAAACAAATAATTCACTAAATAAGAATAAGTAAAGTCTATAACTAGGATTCTTAATTAAAGTAGTGTATAACTAAATAATTTTTAGTATATAAACAATCAGTTGGTACTTGTGAGTTAGCCGGTCACCACAGACTGATATCCGCCATTGTTTATAATCTGAAAACTGATAATTCTGATACTGATAATAACCATAAATAATCTTCTTATTTATACTTACGGAGATTAAAATAGACAAAAAGAACACAACCGCTTCAGATATTTTAAAAAGTTATGAGTGCTTTATAAAGAAAAAATATTTTCCAGATGTTTTATTTTAAGACATTTTTCGTTATTTATTGCCGTTAAATTACAAATGACGCTTGATTTTCAACTTGAAAATTTTGTTTTTGAAAGAATTGACTTTATTGACTATGACTATTACTTATTTTTTTTATTGCCTTAGCCAATTATTTTTTAATATTGTTTCATGTTTAATTATTTTCTGACTATCCAGCTTTAATAAAAGGCCAATTATGACAGAATTAACTCAAATGCTGATTCTCAGTGACCAAAAAACTAACTTAAGCCAAATTCGCCAGTCCGCCATTTCGAGGCAGTGTGTTCAGTTTTTTTCGTGGGAACATTGGCTTTTTTTTAATAAATGGTTACAAGGAACACAACGATGTGCAATTTATAGGGACATGGGAGAGGGGAGGGGGGTGCACGGTAAGGGGGTTTGGCCCTCAACCACGAAGAGGTTGAAAAACCAGATATACTTGATGTAAAAATAGCTATTTAGTAAAATAGCTAAAGGCTTAAAACTAGAAAGGCTCCAGAGATGTACAACCTACCAGCAGAACTGTTTAATAATGGGGAGACAATTTAAGAGCCAAGTTACTAAAACTAATCCAGAAAATATGGGAAGAGATGATACCTGAAGCTTGGAGTACGGGCTTAATCTGTCCTATCCTAAAGAAAGGCTCCGTGTATGAGTAGTAATTACAGAGGGATAGTATTCCTTTTAGTTCCCTACAAGTTAATGATCAATATCCTGATAAACTGGATATATCCATATTATGAAAATATTATAGACAACCACCAAGCTGGATTCAGAAAAGAAAGGAGTACACTAGACCAGATCTTCATCCTAAAAAAGTACTCAAAAAATGATAGAAAGTAGCTCAGGACGTCCATGTCCTATTTGTTGATTTCAAAGCAGCCTGTGATTCTGTTTCTGGAAAATTATGAACTGGAAGTTTCCGGTAAGTTATTGAGATTGTGTACAAATGGTCCTAAATATGAAATATGAACAGACTATTTTGTGGGACTTGGTAATTTCGACTCCTGGACTTAAACATGTATTTCTGTTAAAAACTCAGAGTCGAAAAATTTCACAATCGTGGTGAGGCTTTCTCTTAGTATGTACTACATTAACAACTTCTTAGATTTAGTGATTTCTATTTACTAAAATATAATTATGATAAATGAAAAGCATTAGAATAACATATATAACTCACAGCTTCTTCACACTGTTAGTGTTATCAAGAACACAACAATTTATGTTATGTATTAAACACTAAACTATAAGTTTTAAGTAAAATTATTACTTTCATGGATTGAAAAATAATACCAACATCACAACACATAAGTTTCTTAAAAGTATTGCATTATTAAATAAACTAAAAATAAGAATAAAATAGGAAAAAAGTTACTTACTAGTTTGAGCGAATTTCTCCAATGCAATCAGTGAAAATAAAGTAACCACTGGATCAATCTCATCTTCCTATATATAATAAGTAAATAAATAATACGTTAAGAATTATTATTTTTAAGCCTTTAAGATCTTGATTTACAAAAATTATTATCATACCAGATTTCCTATTAGAAAATCAAGAGTGGCAGATGTGAGGATAGCAACTGAACTAGGGCCAGAAAGTTTTTCAGCTAAGACTCCAAGAGCAATGCATATATTTCTAGGTTTCCTATTGTCCATTCCACGAGAAACTCGATTTTTAGAGGAAAGGTTAAATTTAGAAGAGAGTCGAAGTACAGCATTCTGAAACAAAAAAAACCTTATTTAATAGATACTAATGAAAAATATCCTAGGAAAGAAACCAAATGTAAAAACATAAAATATACAGCTTATTAAATAATAACAAATGTTAAATTAGCAATAATTCTTAACCTCTTAAAAAGGGTTTAAAGCTATTTAATAGCTAAATAAAATGTTACAAGAATAACCTATAAAATGGTAATCAGTTGAAATGCTATAAATTCAATGTTTTTATAAATTTCAATGTTTCTATCAATCATTTGCTAATTCTTAGACCATCTAAAAAATTTAAGAATTAGACTACACAAAATGTGTTCTCGACTTTACATGAAAAAGCAACGACAGCAAAATAGAATACCTTTTAATCACAGAAAAGAGTAATGAAAGGTAACAACTTCATTGTTATTACACCATTTGATATCATGACGGCTATATCAACAGTTTTGCTTTGTTAACAAATTTATAAGATAACAAAAAATAACCAACCAATAGATTTTTGTGAAACTTAATCTATATATGTATATATATATATATATATTTTGTCAAGTTTGAAATAAATTTAAAAAGTTTTTATTTAGTTTCTACAAATATTCCATTAGCTTCCTTGTAAACATTTATTTTCCATTTAATACTATAAAAGAATACATTATTATTAAATCCAGTAGCATATTAGTTTTTTTTTTCTGCTTACCATCTGCTTTAACGACTTTATATATTAGATATCATTTTTCTAAGATTATACATTGATATGTTATAGGAAAATTGTTTTTAATCTGGAAACATATTTTTCCTTTCTTTCTTCTTTCCTTAATTATTAAATTTAATAGTTTATATTAAGTAATTTGTAATTATAGCTAACAATGAGAGAGATTTAATTACCTCGTATGAACAAAACTAAAGGTCATTTAGAGTAGGAAATTTTGAAAATTCGGTATTTAACCCAGTCAGACTATTTTAATGAAGTTAATACCTAACTGATATTAAATAATATTAAATTTTACATTGATATAAGAATATAATAAAAAGTGTTAGATCTGTTTTTGAGAAAAAATTACAAAGACAGTGATATTTCCAGTAACTTTTTCTTGAGAAAAAGTTACTTTAACATTTCAGGTTTCTTACATACATAATTTCAGTTTATTCTGACTTTTTGGTTTGAGTTATGGGTTTTCTCTTACACATACATAGATCGTTTCCCGAGACTTGGTAACTTGGAACCAGGAGACCTTATAACATTGAATAACACTGAATACTCATATTCAAAATTTGACATAATCCAATACTTTGTCATATTAAATATCTCAAATATAGTTAAGTGAAAGTAAAAAATAATAGTTTGATAAAGAGAGTTTTCAAACAAAACCTTTTAATTTCTTAGGTCAACATTGGCTAGAGGAAAAATATGTAGAATAGTGTACGAGTGATGTTTTATCACCATTTGATAAATTTTAAGTGATGTGACATAGTGGATTCAGATGATGCCTGAATTAGTAAAATATAGCATAACTGGTTGTTGGTGGCTGCATAAGATACTAAAGGTTTAGACTTATTCCAGAATCTATCTATCGTAACAACTTTAATTTTTGTATATTTTCCATCTCTTTCATTAAAGCCAAAAAATTGTTCACATAAAAATATACAGGCAAACTAACTTTGTTAGGGAGAGGACAGTCGTCTAGAAGTAGAGTTATCACAGCTGGGCCAAGAGGATCTTCCACAGGAACTACACGAACCATCGAATCTACTATCTGTATCCATCCATCATCTTGATCAGCTATATTGTGAAGTTTAAAAAGCTCTTGCGGTGGCTCTTGGTCACTGAAATTGTAACACTCATGATAAAATAACGAATCATATAAGAAATACAAAAACATGACAACTAACAAAACATTCAAGTAACATGAGGAAGGTTATACTTTTTTAATTGTATCTTACTTTTCAACTAAAGACCTGATGGCTTTGAGTGAGTCCAATATAAGCATTTCAACATCTTTTGGAGAGACCGATTTCCACCAATCTTGTTCCAATGCAGTGTCCCTTCTGTCTTCTGCAGCATTATGTGATGCTCCATCAAGCTCTCTTCTTCTAGAATTTCTTCCTTTATTTTTACAATGGCATATACCCATTAGAAGAGAAACACCACCTATCAATTCTGCCCCGTCTTGCTAAGTTTATCTAATCAACTAGACCCAACAATAACTAAAACATCTCTAACCGAACTTCCACTTGGGAAGGTAACCTAATTTAAAGAGTACTGATATCAGCTGTTTGATTCATACCCAGAACAGCCAACATCATGATTAATGACGGAAAACTATTAACTATAAGACTATTTAGAATTATATTTTTACAAATATTGTGAAATTTAGATCAACGTTTCAGTTCAAAATAATTATTAAAAGATAAGTTGCTATCAATACTCCTTGCCAAAGTTTGTTCATTAGTGAAGCGGGAAGAGAGCGCCAGTGAGTTAACTGTCAGGAAGGCAAAGCTCCAGTCTGTCCCGCTCCTTTCGCCGATGTATTTCAACTGTACTGTCGATCGCTAATTTGGGTTTACGATATATTTTTCGAAATTATTAAATTTTCAGAATTGTTGTTATTGAATCATGATATTAAAAATGATGTTCTATCAACTCACAATCATATGAGAAAATAATTGATATTGAAGAAACATGATATTTCATTGATGAAATAGGTAAGCTAAATGTAAAAGTTTTGTTGAATGTATGACAGTTATGTAATATATTTTGTTCCGAAAGATTTATCATTTCCACGGTCTCATCGTTATTAATTGTTAAACGATGATTCTGTACTAGTGTGGCCTGATTTCTTGAGTAATTTTCTGATAATAATAACAAATTATTTCGTTAATTTTTACTGTATTTTATATATACCCTAACTGAATTATTTCTATCTTTTTTATACACAAATAAAATTTACACGCAGCTATTTTATTTTTTATTTTTCCGTAGATAAAAACGACAAAAGTTCTCTGATAAAAAAGAGCTTCTTAAAGTTATTTAAATGGGAAAATATTGATGATTTGATTCATATTTCTTTCTCTTTCACCTATTAATTACTTCTCTTCCCTAAAAGCAGAAATTATATTAGTCCTACTCATTACAACGACACAGTGAAACTAAGTACATTTTGATGAAAATAGAAGTACATTTTGAAATATAAATTTGATACTGCAAGCAAGTGTACATTCAAAGTTCTAAAAATCATGTGTTGCTTTTACTCAAGTTAATATAAACTAAATAGTTGTTTTTAATTGTTACATTTAAGTCGTCATAATTTGTTCAAGCTTCACCATTTGCCGCTTATTGTATCTATTTTTAAATAATCGATTTCTTTAATAAAACATTTTAACTATTAAATGGTTTGGTGTTTCATTAGACCCCATTTACCGTCATCTTTAAACTAATTTTTGTTTGTAAAATAAATTAGTAATGATTAACAGCAGATAATGTTAAAATGCTATTGAAAGATTTTTTTACTAGGTTGTATGCTAATTACTGAGTAGAATGAAAAAGTTTTCTTTTAATTAATAAGTATTTCCTCTTGAACTTACACCACTAATCAATATAATAATTGTATAATATAAGAATTTTTTTTTATCATGGAATGAGTTACTATTTCTCAACTGGCAATGTGCCAAACCATAAGGTGATTATTTTCTACTTTCTCTCAAGTTGGTGCTTAACTTTTTTTCTTTAAGAATTCATAAAGATTAAAACCGCATCTTTTTTTTATTTATTTTATAATTTTAATCACGAATTAATTTCCCATTTAATCCATTTTTGATCCATGGTTGAAATAATCAATTCTGAACAAGTATTTTAGTCTTTTGAAATTTATATCATAACACAAATACATTAAAAAAAACTACAATTGACTCTTATTAAAGTGAACAGTTTCATAAAAATGAGTTATATGAATCCATATTTTATACTTCAATAAATAAATGTACTTTACTTAATAATTTTATATTTGTTTATAAATTATGGAAAATTATCAGTGATTCAAAGAATAAATTTATTCAGCGCTATCTAATTTATTTTTATAACACTTTTAGCTAATTTATAACTAATAATTTTTTTAAGTGGTATTATCGTTAAATGTCTAAGTAGTGTGATTAGACATTAGGAACACAGAAAATGTAAACTTAAAACATCTTTTTTTGGGATTTTTATTTTCCTCTGGTCCCTAATGTTATCATTATTTTTGTCTATTAAATGGTTTTTCTAAAACACTTTGTAAATAACAGTAGTTTTTTTTTTTTCAATCATTTCAGGGCATTTGAGTATGAAGTGTTAAAAAAAAAAAATAAAAAAAATCTTGGACTAGATTCTATTTTCAGGAGTAGCCTTTTTGTAGCCTTCAAGAACTTTCGGACTCGAACAACCCTCTCTCTCTTTCTCCCTCCCTAAATAGAAAAATTATGATTTTTTTTTTTTATTGGTCTATATTTGTTTTTTTTTGAGTGATCTGGACTAAATACTCAAACAATCACATTATGTTCTCTTTTTAAATTATAACGCATTTACTTCAGCTATAAGCATGTACTAAATGGAAGCACCGTTGGCAAGATAGAATATAAAAATTATATCCCTAAAAGCATTATTATTCCTGTAACTATATAATTAAACTAAGATAATCAGAATTTTAATTTTAATTAACTAATTTATTTACCGTTAATTATGTATATAATCCCTTCTAACCACTATATCTTAAAATCATGTCGAGTAGTGAAATGAATGCAATCTTAAATCAACGACTTCCTATAGTATTTGAGCGTGAAACAATTAATAGGACTACTGTAATATTGTTCTAATCATTTAACAGTGTGAAAACTAATTAAGGCTTGAGGATAAGGGCAAAATTATATCTCAAAAAATCATAAATTATTATATGTAACATTTGATAGACAGAACTACTTATGAAAGTTTGATAAATGCTGTTAACATTAAATGTTTATTGAGGAAAAATCAAGAAGGAAATATTGTGAAAGAATCAAGTGTCCGATTGCTGAAAATAGTCCGAAGCACTAGCGGATCCAGGATTTAGTTTGTTTTTTTTTGGGGGGGGGAGGGGAGGGCTTCAGCCGGAAAGATTTTTTTAAAAAAATATATAGCGATAATTACTTATGAAAAAAAGGAAAGAAACTAACTACCTATATGAAATACTTTAAGTGATTCTTTAAATACTATTAAATGTACAAACAATAATACTTGTAGAATTAATTATTAAATATTTATTTTTAAAGACATGGTTATATTTTACCATTTCTTTTTTTTTGGGAGGGGGGAAGGCTTCAGTCCGAAAGTCTCCCTCCCCTCCCGTAGATCCACCTGTGGTCGGAAGTATAATTAAAATAACACGGCTTAGATGGACGAGTTGGTGGAAAAACCAATTAACAAATCTAAAAATTTGCATTGCCAGAAATAAGTTGGAAAATTATCTTGAATACTGATTTCGAGTGATTTTTTTTTTCTTGGTAGAATCTAAATTCAAAATAAATAGTATTTATGGAAGAAAAATGGTTTGGTGAAACGCAGTTCAAAATGTCAAAACACAAAATACGGTTGGTAAAGTTAAGTACAGTGACAGTGTTCGGGCGGAAAATTATCTTTTTTTCCATAGAATCATGCATGAGTACCAATCTTAACACATTCTGAATTACAATTTGAAGTTACGCTCGGCAAATAAATATCCATTGTTCTTTTTTTGGTTTTTTAATTTGAGCGAACAATGATCCAAGCAAATTAGTTAGATGTAAGGATTTGACAACTTAGAAGTTGTCGGCCTCTCCCTCCTCACCTGACATGAATCCCATTGTAGATCGGTGCGTATTTGGATAAACGTCTGAAAAAGTGGTACGGAATTGAAACGAACTGATTCCTATCAACAGTAGGTAGATGATCAGTGGTTTTGTTTGAAAAGCAATACAATATTAAACTGTGTTCAATTTAATTAATAATCATTGTGGTTAATTAAATGGTTATAGAATTGTGATTATTGGATTTATTTTCTTGTGTTTGTATCTTAATAAAACCTTTATAAGTCAAATTTACAAATGTAATTAAATATTTAAATTTAAAATGTAAATGTTATTGCTCTTTATCGTTAAATCGTTATTTGTACTTCAATTCTTTGTACATCCCTTCATTACAAAAATAAATTAATAAAATATTGCACTTTTTCAGATTCAATAACTTGTTTATTATTAACATTTTATGATCCAAAACTATTTATGATAATAAACCTGAAAATGATTGTATGTTTATGTATTACTGAATGTTTTTCTTTCGTTAAAGTCTGGTCGATTTTGTACTATAGAAGAAATTTCATTTATTCATTTCAAAATTCAAGGTGTAACATTAAAAATTTGAATAGAATATAATTTATACATAAAATAGGTACTCATACCTTCAATTGAAACATCGGTTTTTACTGTAATGATAAATTAATGTAATATTAACTAATTAAAAACAAGGTTAAGTAAACCGTATGAAGTACGATATGTAAATACATGAAAAATAAAATAAGAAGCTATTAATTTTATCATTTTTCTCTTCTTAAATGATCCGTTTTTAATGTCTAATTTAGTGTCAAATATTGTCCCAACTCTCTCCGAATTTAGCCATGTAAATTGTTGGTAGTCCCACAATTAGTCTGAAGCTCAGAAATGAACTCACGCTCCTCAAAAGTGAAACTATTTTTTTTTATATTATTTTTTTAATCTAAAAGTCTAAATATTATTGAAGTTTTACTACAAAGTCAATTTTGGTTTATTATTTTCAATAATGAAACATTGTGATCGACCAAAAAATTCAAAAACACAACTTCCTCTCAAAATTTGAGGTTTCACGTTTCAAGACGCGTAGAATTCGAAAAACGAATAAAATTTTTTTGTCCGTCCGCCGTCCGCGCATTTTCTCCGAAACTACTGGACCGATTTTTTTTCAAATTTTGATATAAAATCAGAGGTCACCCGAGGATGATCCTCCTTCATCGACATTACTCTCCGCCTTTAACTTTCAAAATGGCGGCCGAAAAATCTGCGTTGCTATAGACTGTAGCTCCTAAACGAATGTACAGATTTCAATGAAACTTGACTGAAGTCATTTTCTCGACGCCCTTTAAATTTATCTATATAACATACTTCAACGAAAAGAAGCTGGAAAGAAAGTGACGAAGGATAGTAAAATTAAATTCCGAATCACTCGAAAAGTTTTTACTTTTTTGTCCTTATTGTGTGGTTTTTTAAAAGTTTACGAAATTTCCTAAAAAAACAAAAAAAAAAAAAAATTGTTTAAATCGGACAATTAGGAGCTAAGATATGGTCTCCGTTTTTTTTTTATATGTTCTACTCCAAATGTTATATCCTTGGTTTGGTTTTTAAATTTTAAATGTGTTACTGAACTAATGCTATTTTTTTTAGCATATTACTAATGATTAAAGAAAAACAGTTTCGTCCAATAATTGGAATCACCTTTTGTTTTTTTTTCTTTGTAACTCGGAAGGTAATGTTACTTTAGATGTATAATTGTTTGGAGATAATAAACCATTGTGAAATAATTTGCAGCGTTTTTTCCTCGAAAGTATTTGCCTAACGATGAATACAGCCAGTGTGAGAAGTATG